CTTATGCATCTATCCAAACCCAGCTCAAATACCCCCTTAATTCATCTTGAGCCACTCTCTCTGCTCTTGAATGCCTTAGGGGTGTTAACTAATTTGGGGTATACTAGGGTTTAACAAATAAGTGAATATACTGTAGATAATAGGCATTCTCACTGTTGGAGAAATAAGTTACATATAAGGAAAGGGAGAAGGCTATAATGAACGCTGCGAGTTTAGACTGAAATTAGAGGTATCAGCATGAACTCATGTTTTTTTAATAGACAGATGTGTTTATGCATGAATAAGTATACATCCATATATTTCCTAGCTATGTCTCCTGGAAGAGCCTAGAAACAACAGCACCCCAGTAGCAACATGCATCCACATCTTGGTTTCTGAATACCATTCTCCAATAAAAGGAATCAGGGCTCCTTGGAGAAGTGACTGATTCTGGGGATTGGGCACTGAAAATAAAAGATGAGCCTGGGGCAACTTGTAGTACCAGCAAGTTAAGACAGTGCTAAAAACATGATGGGACACATCAAAAGAACCCAGGAGACAGCCTGAAGAAGCTCCCAATGGCCAAAGTCAGAACAATTTGAGAGATAAAAAGAAATAATGATTGTTTTGGACTCTAACCCATAGAATAAAATAAATATCCATGAGTCGACACTGATAAAAATAAACAAATAACCGATTGGGAAGGGACAGCTACTTCTTGTAGAATAATTCCAATGAATACATGTAAAAATAAGAAAAATAGAAAATAATTAACTTGTTCATTAAAATGATAAGGAGCCATCAAGGCAAACTGTCCTTCTAGATCTCCTCTCTGGCTGGTTAAATAATCCACAGTATTTAATTAAGTAAAGCTTCTCATCTCAGTTCTTACAAACTTAGCTGGGGCAAAGACCCAAGTAGAGGTGTTTGGTGACAGACCAGGAGCTCTAGGTCCAAAATGGCTCACATTCTACCCAGCACCATCATTCTACCTCCTCATCCTCCATGGGCTTTGGAATTTCTGAATTTCATTTCTTTCCTTGAGTTACTAGTCCTCTGTGACCTATCAAAACACTAATTATGCTTCCCCAAGAGTTTATCAGAACTCATTTGGCTGCAAGGAACAGAAAACTGAACTCAAAACATCTTAAACAAAAAGAGAATTTCCTGGTATAAATAACTGAAAAGTCCAGTGGTAGTCTAGCTTTAGGACTCAAATATATCTCTCCACAATACTGGCTCCATTCACAGATGGGCTCTCCCCTCATGGTGGCAAGATGGCTGCCAGCAGCTCTAAGCCAACATCTGATACTCTCAGCTAATCCAGCAAAAAAGACAGTGTCACAGGGGGGACACCCCCAAAAGTCCTGGAGCTGATTTAAGTTCACTGACCAGCACTGGCTTAGATACTCATCCTTGAATCAATCACTAGGGCCAGAGGAATGGACTACACTGATAGCCAAAGTCACATGCCCACCCTGAGGGTGGAGTGAGCTACACTCAAACCTCAAGGCATGTATATGAGACAGGAGTGGTTCCCCAAAGGAAAGTTTAGATGTTGCTACCTAAAACAAGAGTGGCTCCTGTGCTGCAAAATTAACATATGTCCACTACACCCCGACTCCTTGGTCAGAATCAACTCAGTCCTGCCTCCTCCAGCCCATCGTCTGGACATCTGTACCAGCAGTGACTTCTTTCTGCTTCAGGCACAGGCAAGTTCACACCCGTCCTTTCTGTTTAAAAGCATCCTGGGCACCAGGAGTCTCGTTCTCCAAAGCACCTGGGTCCCATCCCACACTCTCACTGCCTAGCAAAGTGCCATTGTGCCCCTAGAAAACACACCTTCACGCTGGCTCCCACCCCCTCTCGAAGCAGAGCTGAGTCACTGCGATCCCAGCCAGCTGAGCACTAACCTTGAAAGTGCTTCTCGAAGTCACTGCCTGCCAAGCTCCTGGCTCTGGCACACTCCAGGACCTGGGGACACTGGCTTAACAGGTGAGATAATTATGTTTTACCCGTCACTCACTTCTTTATCAGTCTCACAGACCAGAACAGATAAGTGCTCCGATGCAAGAAAACACTTCTGCGGTATTTACTTGTGCTCTTTAGTGCTGGCCAGCTCTCCCTTCCCAGGCACAACTCCCAGGGACCAGCCTGCACCCTGTTATCTGGTGCCAGTCACCACGCACTGCTGCTCTCTTGTCAACTGCCAGACTGTACCTTCCTAACTGCATTCCCCCAAGCTTCTCCAGGACCTGCAGCACCACTGCTTTCCAGATGACTTACACATGAAGGGCAACTGTCTTCACGACATCCATCCCTCTGTCTGCTCTGCAGATTCCCCAAGGCAGAGGGCTTGTCCCTGTGCCCTGGCCTGGACCTCTCTGCAAAATGTGGCTCTGGTGGGTTCCAAGGCCCATAGCATTGGTTAGATGGAGAAAAGGGGGTAGGGAAAAGCAGGGGGCATTAGGTCTCAGAGACAAGGACTTTGAGATCTTCCAATACAAACAAATGTGTATCTTCATTCAACAAACCTTTATTTAGGAGCTACTGTGTCCTGGGTAGTGTAGTAGGTGCTGCAGAAGTGAAGATACACAACATAGACCAAGTCTCTTTCCTCATGGAGCATACCTTCTAGTAGACATCTGACTTATTGTTGATACCTGCTTTATTTACATTTACATTCACAACACACTGCCTCAGATACTATCCATATAATCCTCAGTAAGTGGTATAACTATCTGTAGTCCACAGACTCCAAAAGTTTGAATGACCTTCTCAAAGCCAAGGCACAAACTCAGGTCTTCTGACTACAAACCTTACTCTCTTTCTGGGGCCTCTCCCAAGGCAGGGAGCTAGCAGGGTACAGCCTGCCATTGAGACAGACATTAACTCAACTCAGTCCCAGGCATCACTGCTAGAGATAGGAGATGTAAAAAAGAAAGACCCATCCCTGATCTAAAAGAATTTATAGTCTAAAGAGAGAGAAAGACACATAACCAACTATCATCTATGACAGGAATAAAGAACATAGAGTGGTTAAATCCAAGTAGGAAGATCTCTCTGGAAAGATATACAAGAAATAATGATCACCTCCAGGCAGAAAAATTGGGTACCTAAGAAACAGGGAGAGGAGGGTCATTTTTTATGCTCAAATATTATATATTTTGAATTGTGTACCGTTGAATTTACTTCTCATTAAATGACACTGTGAAGATGCAATCAGCCAAATGCTGAATGTAGGAAATTCCACAGGATAAATGATCTGGTTTCTTCAACATGCAAATAGCTCCCCCAAAAAGCAGGGAGGGGAAATATTATAGACTTAAAAAGATTTAGGAAACATCAGCCAAACATAATATATGAACCTTGTTTGGATCCAAATTTGAATCAACTTAAAAAAGAAATTTTGGGGACAACGTGGAAGATTTTTTTTTAAATAAATAAATTTATTTATTTATTTATTTTTGGCTGTGTTGGGTCTTTGTTGCTGCCCGCGGGCTTTCTCTAGTTGTGGCGAGCGGCGGCTACTCTTCCTTGCAGTGCACGGGCTTCTCATTGCGGTGGCTTCTCTTGTTGCAGAGCACGAGCTCTAGGCACACGGGCTTCAGCAGCTGTGGCATGCGGGCTCAGTAGTTGTGGCACAAGGGCTCTAGAGCACAGGCTCAGTAGTTGTGGCTCATGGGCTCCAGAGCACAGGCTCAGTAGTTGTGGCTCACAGGCTCTAGAGCACAGGCTCAGTAGTTGTGGCTTATGGGCTCTAGAGCACAGGCTCAGTAGTTGTGGCACACGGGCTTAATTGCTCCGCGGCATGTGGGATCTTCCTGCACCAGGGCTCGAACCCGCATCTCCTGCACTGGCAGGCAGATTCTTAACCACTGCGCCACCAGGGAAGTCCCAAAAAGGAAGATTTGAATATGGACTAGCTACTAGAGGTTATTAAGGAATTATTATCCATTTTGTTAGGTATGATCATGGTACTGTAGTTAAGGTTTTCTTAAGGTCCTTATCTGCTAGAGATACATCCTGGAGTATTTACAAATGAAATAATATGATGCCAGAGATTTGTTTTTAAATATTTCAGCAAAAAATAATAATAAATAAATAAATGAATAAAGGAGTAAATGAAGGAATGAATAAATAAAGGGAAGAGTAGATGAAACAAGACTGGCAAAAGGTTGATAATTTCTGAAGCTGGATGACAGTTCCATAGGGGCTCATACTACTCTACCCTTATGGATGGTTGAAATTTCCATAATGAAAAGTTTAAATAAAAATTTAAAAATTAATTATTCCAGCCACCTAGGATGACTAAGGAGGAAAGTGTCACAGAGGAAAGGTATTTGAGCTGAGTCCTGAAGGATGACTAGGAATTTTCTAAGGGGCAAAGGGCCTTCCAGGCTGAGTAAAGATACACAGATCTATCACAAATCTCTCTCTGGGAGAACCAAAGTTATATACACTTGACCTCAAACTCAACTTACATCCCACACAAGTGCCCTCTTGCTTAATCCCCCAACTCTCTGGGACATGCAGACACAGCACCAAAATCAACTATCCTGTTCCAAATGAGAACAGAGTGTGTGGTCGACAGCTCCACTCAGAGACCTGCAATAGGTCCCGGTGTAGCCTTCAGAGGACAGGAAGGCAATTAACCTCTCTCAACTGGGTTTTGCCTGACAAGGCAGTTTGGAAGCCAGCTGAGTTATCTCAGGAACAGAGCCTTCATCCCTCCTGAGTCATCCCAGACGCGTGCCCTCCCCAGACACACACACCAGCCTCCCCAGCAGCACCTTATAGATTTATAACCTCAGTACTGGGGGGTCCAGCTTGATGGCAGCTTGGCAGCCCAGCCCATGGGCACTAAAACACGCCCCCTCCTTCCTCCCAAGCCCCCAGCCTCAATCCCTACACTGCCCCTGCCCACCTCCAGCTGCACTCAAGAAGCTTGCTGGCTGTGCAGTCACTTCAAGAGTTATCCAGGCCTGGCCTAGCTCAGATGGGTCCCACAGGTCCCTTACCTTGGATCGAAGCTGTAAGTATTCTTCTGAACCATAGGGGACACTCCTCAAGGAGGTAAGATAGTCGTAACTGATGACAGCTGTCTGTGAACCAAGGAAGAGGAAGGCTTAGTACCAGACATCAAATATTACTCCTCTGTCCAAGGCCTGCAGCTGCAGCCCCCTGACACAGGTGGTATGTCTAGAGAAGCAGTCCAACCTCTAAGAGGCCCTGCCCCCAGATTTCAATCTGGCTGGTTTCTTCCTGTCATTCAAGGCTCTGCACAAATGTTACCCCTGCAGAGACCCTTAATCTAAAGTTACCCCCACCCACAGGAACTCCCAATTATTTATTATAACAAACTACCGTCCAAAATTACCTGGCTCATTTGTTTCCTTGTATATGGATGGTTTCCACTTCACTAGAAATTAAGCTCTATAAGCTCAGGGGCATGTCCTTCCTGTTCATCATCGTATCCCCTGCACCTTTCACAGTGCCAGGCACACAGGTAAATGCTCAATAAATACTAGTTGGATGAATGCTGTTGGATAAACTTATCCCACCCCTCTTTGTCACAAATAAACACCATTTCATATTTATGTTTGCTCTAATAGCATAAGTTTTAATTCCGGGTCCCTTTGCAAAAACTCCAGGAGAGGTTGCCTTACGCTTGGTGAATCAGGAAATTACAGGCTCCCAGGTATCTTCAGGCACAGAGGAGCCTTAAAGGTTGCCAAAGCCAAACCTTCCCTTTTAGAACTGAGCAACTGAAGCCCGTAGAAATTAAGGGGCTTACAAGGATGGTATTGAGAGGAGTCCATTCCTTTGTCTATACTCCCAAATCTTTATTCCATTCCACATATACTTGCTGAATACCAACCACTAGCAAGACCTGGCCTGAGTGGTGCACAAGGCTAATCAAGACCAGAGCCCTGAATTATGGTCAATGAGATAAGTCAGACAGAGAAAGACAAATACTCAATGATATCACTTACATGTGGAATCTAAAAAGTACAATAAATTAATGAATATAACAAAAAAGAAGCAGACTCACAAATATAGAGAACAAACTCGTGATTACCAGTGGAGAGAGGGAAGTGGGAAGGGGCAGAATTGGGGTAGGAGATTAAGAGGTATATACAAACTATTATATATAAAATAAGCTACAAGGATATATTGTACAACATGGGGAAAAGAGCCAATATTTTAAAATAACTATAAATGGAGCATAAGCTTTAAAACTTGTGAATCACAATATTGTACACCTGCAACTTATATAATATTGTACAGCAACCATACGTCAATAAAGAAAAATTTTTAAACGTCACCCCCCCAAAAATAGACCAGAGCCCAGGCCTTTAAAGAATACACAGCCTAGTGGCTACCTTATAAAGCACTGATTTATACCTTCCTCCCGCCTCTCCAACTATTCAAATCCCTAAGGTTCCATCCAACCCTACTCCCCTAAGGCACTCATCCCGACCCCAGCCCACAGGACTCACTCCTGTGTCTGAGGTCCCACAGCAGCTGTCACCCGAGTCACGCAACTTGACACAATACATGGCTGTAGATTGTTTTGTTTTGTTTTTCAATTTATTGATTGATTTTTGGCTGTGCTGGGTCTTCGTTGCTGCACGTGGGCTTTCTCTAGTTGCAGCAAATGGGGGCTACTCTTCATTGCAGTGCGCGGGCTTCTCGTGGTGGCTTCTCTTGTTGTGGAGCACGGGCTCTAGGCGTACGGGCTTCAGTAGTTGTGGCACGCAGGCTTGGTAGTTGTGGCTTGCAGGCTCCAGAGCGCAGTCTCAGTAGTTGTGGCGCACAGGCTTAGTTGCTCCGCAGCATGTGGGATCTTCCCAGACCAGGGCTCGAACCCATGTCCCTCTGCATTGGTAGGCGGATTCTTAACCACTGTGCCACCAGGGAAGCCCTAGATTGTTTTTTTGACCCATTCATATGAACACTCCTCAGCCAGAAGGTCCTTCAAAGCTGCACCTGTAGGGGCTTCCCTGGTGGCACAGTGGTTGGGAATCTGCCTGCTAATGCAGGGGACACAGGTTCGAGCCCTGGTCTGGGAAGATACCACATGCCGCGGAGCAACTAGCCCCGTGAGCCACAACTACTGAGCCTGCGTGTCTGGAGCCTGTGCTCCGCAACGAGAGGCCATGATAGTGAGAGGCCCGTGCACCGCAATGAAGAGTGGCCCCCTCTCGCCACAACTGGAGAAAGCCCTCGCACAGAAACAAAGACCCAACACAGCATAAATAAATTAATTAATTAAATTAAAATATGTATATTAAAAAAAAGCTGCACCTCCGTGGGACAGTTCGTTTCTACCCCTAAGGCATATAAGACAATGCTGGGCCCAAAAAAGGCATTCAGCAAACACTTAGGAATCACTACATATGCCATGGCCTGTTTATCTATTTGCTAATCTTGAGTCTATGACCCAGTTTACGTTAAGGAGCAGGCACCACATCTGAGCCAGGCTAGGAAGAAGACGGGACAACACTGAGCATTAAGGAAATGATTAGACAATAGCCCAGACAGACTGTGCATCAGAGTGTCTCTACACCGAGGGGAAGAAAGCATGGGCTCATCCTGCAGCAGACAAAGGAGGAAAGAAAGCAGGACACATGTGGCACTCTACCCACCAATGGAGCAATTATGTAGGGGTGCCTGGAACAGCCACTTTCAGCAGCGTTAAAGAGGATGTGATCACACCAGAACGATGTTCCTGAACCACTGGAGAAAGCCTCTAACAGTCAAATATTCAATTCAGATTCTGTTAGTTTGGAGCTTGGAGGGGATCGGCAAAGTTCTTCAAGGCATAGATACTCAGAGCATGAGCCCTGCATCACGAACCATTCACGAGCTCACTGGAGGCAGACCAAGTTTTCTGGTAGAATTTAATCAAAGCTGCAAAGCTCTCTTTCCATGTGTTTCCTGAGAAGACCACTTCCTGAGTCTGTCACTAAAATAAGATACGGAGGTTCTGTAAAGGTACAGGTTTCAGAACAGAGACCCCATGCAATACCACTCTGTTTAACTTCAGGATGCCAGAGGTAGTGTGAACAGGGATATAGGCACACAGGGGTGCACACCCATGCCTGTGCAACTGTGTAGTGGGAGCTTCACACAGGTAAGGGGACAGGTGAATCTCCACATATGTGTGACTGGCAGGTACATCTGCTACATGTATGAACACCTGCAAGTAATACTGCAGTTCCTCTGCCCCTCCCAAAAGGAGAAGAACCTACCGTGGCGACTGCTCTGCCCACCCTGACAGCGCCAAAGTCGTTGAGGTCCAAGTACTTGTTGCTGTAGAGGTAGAAGCCAGAGGCGGCAAGAGCCATGCTGGTCCATGAAGCAAGCTTGAGAGCCCTCTGGGCCATGTCCCCAGACCCTGAAGAAGGAAAGCAGAGAAAGAGGAGCAGTTAAGAGTTTCACAGGTGGTCAGATTCAAATCCAGGCTCTGCCACTTAGACTGCATGATCTTCAGTCATTTCCTCAATCTCACTGCACCTGTGTTTCCTCATTTGTAAAACAGGAGGATACCTACCTCAAAAGCTGTTGGGATAAAATGAGATCGTGTATGTGAAATGCTTAGCACAGTACCCAGCATAAGTCAACTGTCAAAGTCATTCTTCCTTCAACAGTACCAGGCACTGTCCTAGGCACTAGGGAGAGAGCCAAGAAAACAGACAACGTTCTTACAGTCTAGAGGGGATGACAGATCACAAGCAAACAGACATGTATTAGAATAGCAGCAGGTATTCAGTGCTGAGAAGAAAATCGAAGTGGGTAAGAGGAAGGACGACGAATATGTGATGAAGGGTGCTGTTTTAGATAAGAGAAGCGAGGGCATCTTAACGACTCTTACGGAAACTATGATTGTACCACTAAGCACACAAAGGCGTCATTAGCCCCCTATGCCCAGGTCAGAAGTAACCACAGCCAAGATGGCAGCTGGTCAGAGCAGCCAGGTAAGCCCTCCACATCTGACTGATTTTCAAAATATTTATTTTAATTAGAATAGACAGCCCCTTTTCTAGACTGTAAGCTCCTTGAGAGCAAACACCATGGCTGTTACCACTATGTCCACTCACAGCCCTCCAGGCTGCTTTCTGGTTAGGGGCTCAAGGTCCACCTGCTGATTTGCTCTGTTTCACCGAACTCACACTCCCATTCAGTGGGACCAAGTGGGCTCCCGGCTCCCTTTCCCCACCCTACTTGTACTGCTCAGCGTGCCAGGTGGCTGCACAGACAATCTATGGGGCCACTGTAGCCAGTGGGCAGATTCCCCTTCAATTTCTAGGAATTCTATATCTGACTAAAGTCCTTGACCACAGTTGCAGCTGCCAGTGGAGAAGTCCCACCCAGAAGTGCCACCATCAAGCCACCTACAGCTGCAAGCCCGGCACAAATGCAGCAGGAAAATTTAGGTCATCACCCTGTTTGCTTCTGCCATGGACTCAGTCTGTGACCATCCCCTCCCTGCTCTGTGCCTCTGTTTCCCCTTTGTATGGAAACAATTGCTCCAAACAGCCTTGTCTGCATTTTCTTTAAAGTCTATCTTGACTCATGCCTCATAATATAGTCACAGATTTTTTTAAAGTATCCACAGGGACATAGTTTTCCATTCTGTTACTTTCAATTTACACTTTATACTGTTTCTCTAAATAGCATATAGTTGATTTTGTTTGCATTTAACATAATCACTTATGTATTTGGATTTAATTTTACCATCTTCTGTGCTTTCTATATTCCTACCTGTTCTGTTTCTTTTTCTCTCCTTTCTTGACTTTTCTGGACCCAGTTCTTTTTATAATCCCATTGTTTTTCCCTTTGCAGTGTTCTTTTCCTAGCCAGCATTTCTAAAGTGTGGTCAGAGGAACTCTTAAGAAAAATAAATATCAATCTGGGTGCCGTTTCAAAAATGTAGACTTCTGCTAGACTCACAGACATAGAAAGCAAGCTTATGATTACCAAAGGGGAAAGTGGGGGAAGGGATAAATTGGGAATTTGAGATTAACAGATACACGCTACTATATATAAAATAGATAAACAACAAGGACCTACTGTAAAGCATAGGGAACTATATTCAATATCTTATAATAAGCTATAATGGAAAAGAATCTGAGAAACAATATATATGTATAACTGAATCACTTTGCTATACACCTGAAACACTGTAAATCAACTATACTCCAAAAAATAATAATAATGATAATGATATAGCAAAGTAAAAAAAAAAAAAAAAAAAATGCAGATTTCTGAAGTTCACCCCTTGGCCCACTGAATCATCAAAGCTGGGGGTAGGACTCAGGAATCTGCATTTTAAAAGGAAATATAATGGGTTATTTTTATGCAAAGTTTGAGAACCACTCTTCTAAATATTTCATTTTTAATAAAGAGAGGCTTCATATGTTCAAATTAGTCAGTGAAACCATGCCCCCTTCCAAGTTTATCCTACCCACTTGCAACCCCAGATGACTGCATTCACCCCACAAGGATGACTGCAAGCAATTTTTTTTTTTTTTTTTTTTTGGCTGCATTGGATCTTTGTTGCTGCAAGCGGGCTTTCTCTAGTTGCAGTGAGCGGGGGCTTCTCATTGCGGTGGCTTCTCTTGTTGCAGAGCACGGGCTCCAGGCACATGGGTTTCAGTAGTTGTGGCATGTGGGCTCAGCAGTTGTGGCTCACGGGCTCTAGATCTCAGGCTCAGTAGTTGTGGTGCATGGGTTTAGCGGCTCCGCGACATGTGAGATCTTCCCGGCCAGGGCTTGAACCCGTGTCCCCTGCATCAGCAGGTGGATTCTTAACCACTGAGCCACCAAGGAAGTCCCATGCAAGCAATTTTTTTTTTTTTGCGGTACACGGGCCTCTCACTGTTGTGGCCTCTCCTGTTGCGGAGCACAGGCTCTGGACGCACAGGCTCAGCGGCCATGGCTCACGGGCCCAGCCGCTCCGCAGCATGTGGGATCTTCCCGGACCAGGGCACGAACCCGTGTCCCCTGCATCGGCAGGTGGACTCTCAACCACTGCGCCACCAGGGAAGCCCAGCAAGCAATTATTTTTAAAGGGATAATTTAAGAAACTCATTTCTTTCACTAAAAGCAAATGCTCTGGCCCAACTCCTGGGAGCAGTTCCTAACGCTGCAAGAAAGGGGTTTATAAACAAAAAGAATAAATTAAACCTGGCTTTGCAGTGTCCCCTTTCTTTACATCTTCTTTGCTTTATGAAAACTTCCCTACCCCATCCCTCGTTCCTTTCAGATGAGAGAGAGCACGGTGGTTGAGAATGAGCACTCCAGAATCCAGTGGGCCTGAGTCTGAGTCCCGACACCATCACTTACACATTGGGTAAGCAGGGGCAGACTGCTAACTCTCTCTCAATTCCATGACCTTGTCTGTAACATGGGGATGATCATAGCAGTGCCTACTTGATGAGGTGGTGAGGAATGAGGAAATCATGCAAAATGTTTAGCAAGGTGCCACCTACACAGTAAGAACACAGTAGCAATTACTATTGTTAGGGAACCTTGGACCAAAACCGCCCACCCTGGCCAGGCACGGTAATAACCACTTGCATGAGTTGTCTCACGACAGGCGGTCCCAATTAGGAGCAGGATACTGACAAGCTGCCACCAAAGAAGAACTGGGGAGGGGCCAAGAGAAGGGAGGAGACCCCCGCCCATAATATGTCCTGCCAACCTCCCAGAAACCCTCACGCTGGAAACCATCTTGGCTGAGAGATGCACGTGCCACCAGGAAGGACCCTGAGTCAGACCAAATATGAGCACAGAGAAGATGATTGGCCAGAGACCACCCGGAAGGCTAAAACCCACCACCCCCGCGCCATAAAACCTGAGACTGCGAGCCACGTGGCAGAGCAGTCCTCCTGGGTTCCCTTACCCTCCTGCTCTCTGCTGGAGTGTCCCTTTTCAAAAAAGCCCTTTGTTTTGTCAGTACGTGTGTCTCCTTGGACAATTCATTTCCGAGTTAGACAAGAGCCCACGCCCGGACCCTAGAAGGGGTCCCCCTCCAGTAACACTATTACCACCACCGCCATTGTGGTTGTTGTTATAATGTCTTCACCCAATGCCAGGCTTAGTAAAGGATCTTATTACTCCCCTATCAACTTCTGCACACCCCACTTCTAGCATCTTGGCAGTCCCCCACCTAGCCCTACCTTTTCATCTTGCTCTCTACACCCTCAGCCTGTAGTATTTTCTATCGAAAGGGGCAGCACACTCAATGTCCCCTCCACCTTGTTTCTGCCAAGACACAGGTTCCCAGTTGGACCCGGATGCAGGCCTTAAATTAGGCTGAGTGCCCTCAACTCCTCACACACCTTCCTCCTTCAAGATCATCAGTTCGAAAAGGTCCATGAGGGGTGATCCAGGGACCTTCCTTGTGGGGCCTGCAGGAAAGCCCACACTAAGAAGGCAGTACAGAGCAACCGGTGGTCAGGAACTCAGCCTCTGCAGCCAGGAAGAGCCCTGGCTCTACTGCTCACCAGCTGTGTGACCGTGAGCAAACCACAACCTCTGAGAGCCTCCATTTACAAAAGAGGCTCTTGATAGTACCTACCTCATAGGGTCATTGTGAGAATTAAATGAGATGCTGCTTTAACAGAATGCCTACCATGCTCAGTAAATGAGACTTCTTTTCCTTATTGTTATTTTAAACTTCATTTCTTCTTCTCTGAAAAGCTGAAGAGCTTATATAGAAGAACTCCTAGCACTTAGGGACCAGAATTCAGCACAACCTTGTACAATTAATAAAGGAGGTGGGAGAAACGCATCACATCTTGCCTGAACCATTCAACCATTCCCCATTCCAAACACTTCCCCACATCCCAGGCAACCTTCACTCTGCCACACAAGTCATCATCATCCTAACCCACAAGTGCATTCTTATCACTCTTACCTACCCACTCTCTACCAAAAAGTCCAAATTCTCTAGCAAGGCATTCAAGACCCACCCCATTCTCATCCCAACCCACCTTTCCAGCTTCATCTCCCAAAATATCCCCCCACACTCAATCCCGCATTATCCCTCTATGAAGTTCTGTCAGCCAATCACTCAGAGTTCCTTGCTCCTTCCTCTCTGGTCTCATTGTACACTGCTTTTACCTCTAATAATCTGACCCTATATCTGCCTCTTCCACTAAATGCAAAGGGCAGAATTCGCTAATAAATAATAAGTGAGTAAATAAGTCTGCAAAAAAAAAAAAGACTGAATGAATGAGAGAGTGAAAATTTCCCCAGTCTATTCTCAACATGGAAACTTAAGTCAAACTCTGCATTCCTCTGCTCTAAACTCTCCAATGGCTCCCACCTTACTCAAAGTGAGACAGGAGGGAAGGGGACAGGGCACAACCTTTAAAAGAATGACACAGGGCTTCCCTGGTGGTGCAGGGGTTGAGAGTCTGCCTGCCGATGCAGGGGACATGGGTTCGTGCCCCAGTCCGATATGACATAAACTACTTAGAACCAATTAGGCCCAAGATGGCAGAAGATTCGACTTCCAGTGGACCTTGAGCCTCATTATATGCTCATTGTGATACATTAGCTAAATGATACACCCAAAGGTGCCATGACAGTTCAGAGGCTGATCATAAATGGCCAAAAAGTGCGTGATGATCTAATACCTGGAAATCCCCACCCCTTCCCCGAAATGATTGGAATAATCCTCCCACTCATTGGCCTATGAAATTTCTCAGCCCATAAAAACTAACCACCCCATATTTCAGGGTCTCTCGCCTTCTGAGACGGCCCACAATCTGTCTATGGAGTGTGTATCTCAATAAATAAACCTGCTTTCCCACTTATTTCTCAGGGCAGAGCCCCCTTGCAACTCCCCAGTTCCCTCCAGGGTTTCAGGCCATTCCACTGTCCCCCCTTGCTCACTTCACCCCAAAGGCACCAGCCTCCTTGCTATTCCTCAAACACGCCAGGCACATTCCAGCCTCAGTGCTTTTGCACTTGCTATTCTCTCTGCCTAGAATAGGGGTCAGCGAACTTTTTCTGTAAAGGACCACATAGAAATATTTTTGGCTTTGCAGGCTATAACATCTCTGTTATAACTACTCAACTCTGGCATTGTAGTGCAAAGCAAAAGACAGCCATAGACAGTATGTAAAGTAATGGGTGTGGTCAGACTTGGCCTGCAGGCTATAGTTGGCCATAACCTTGCTTAGCACATGGAATAGGTGCTCCAAAAGTATTTACTGAATGAATGAATGAATGAATGGGTAAACTATACCCTATGAGACCTGTACAGAGTCAGCAACAATACAGGTTCCCAGGTGAGAAATCACAAACTTGAGCTGACAATTCGACAGCCATCTTCCTCTAGTCACCCCCAACATCCCTCCCAGACTTCCCTCCCCGAACCCCATCCTCCTCAGGTTCACCATCCTCCAGGCCTGTCCCTCTAGGCAATGAGGCCACCCCAGCCTTAAGCCCACCTCTGAGTGGGGAAGCAGCAGCACAGCAAAGCAGACACAACTCCCAAGACCCAGTTTTCACGCAAACGTCCTCAGTAATAAAAGACGTGGAAATTGAAAAACATAAAATAGATGATATAGGAGTCAAACTGTGTCTAAATAGACTGGAGCTGGAGTTTTCCATAAGGTGTCAGTGAGTCTTTAACATGTAAATGAGTTGCTTTCCTCGGGGTAGCAATTTTAAAAGACCCTGTCAGCCGTGAAATATGTCTGTCGATGAAAAACACCTTTCATTATTAAATCTTTTGCTAATGAATCACCTGCCCTGTTCTGTTGACTTGCGTTTTTTGACTTTCACCTGAGTTGTTTCTCATAACAGCACATCCTTTTTTTTGGTTGGGGGTGGGAGGGGGCGGTGCCTGGGGCCACTGGACCCTAAAACCTAACCATTAGATAATAATACTAGCAATAACTGATCTTTACACGGCCCTTTGCACTCATTATCTCATTAGTTATTCCACACAACCCAGTGAGGTGAGACAGATATTACTACCATCCCCAGGTATAAATGAGGAAACCAAGGAGCAGAGAGGGTGAGTGATTTGCCCCAGGTGGCTCAGCTGGTAAATGGCAGGGTAGACCTTCAGCCCTTTCTCTTTATGGCATGTGACCTCCCTGACAGGGACTCACAGACCTCCAATCCCCAACATTCTTAACCCCATTCTCAAGTAACTGCATCAGTCACTATGATTTCTGACCCTCTACCACCCCCAAACAGTGCCAGACACAGGGAAGACACTGCTTGGCACCCTGGAAATCAACAGCATGTCACATATCAACCAAAGCACCTCACTAGAAACCACCAATTCCAGGCTATGAAACATTTAGCAGAGCTGTGTTATTGTCAAATCAACGATGAGCATGGAATCCATCTCGCTGGACCACAGGAAACATACTAGCAAGCACTGAGACAAGGCAAGAGGAGAGTCTGGGAAGTTCTACAAATTAAAAGTTGATGGTCAAATGAAATTCCACCCTCTGTGCAGAACTAAATAGGGAACCAAGCACTTACTGTTCACAGGGCTAGGCCTTTTCAGCTACTATCCATCTGCTGCCTCCTCCCTATGCCACATAACAGGACAGTAAGCCTAGAATCACTGCTCCCTCTTTGCTGCACAGGTGAGAATGGCCACAGAGCAAAGAATTTAGGGCTCCAATCCCATTAATCCCATAAAGCGACCACAGCTCCTCCTCCCATTTCCTAGAGAAACCGTTAGACAAACAAGCAGTATTTCTTTTGGTCTGCTCCCAAGACTGGAAAAGACCCAATAATACATTTGGAGAGAGTGATCTGGTTTTCAGGGAAAATTGGCTATTGATGTAGATAAAAAGCAACCAAGGTGGATGATACCATCATGTCTCATATCAATACTGAGGGACCATCTAGTTGACCTGAGCAGGTTTATAGCCTGCCCTGCCCTGCCCTGCCCTGTAGATAGGAATGTAATCCAAATGTAATCACTCTCTTTCCTAGTGTTTGATGCCCAGAAGGTGATTCAATCAATATTGATTAAAGGAATCCCCAACTGATGCCGAAGTCCCAGAGTAGACAGGAAAAATAAATCTCATCCAGGCAAGGAATAGAATTCTCCACTTACTTCATCCCGAGATAGGGGGACTCAGGGAGAACAGTGGAAAACCAAGCACAAAGCGTGAGTAGCAGGTAAGAGAAGGAGAGGGAGTGAGATTGTAAGCAGAAATGTACAGTGCCAAGTGCTTAAACATCTCATGTAACTCTCACAACTACATCCTGGGGTGCATCCTATTACAGCCTCAGTCTACAGATCAGGAAGCTGAGTTTTAGAAAAGGTAAAAACCTTGGCTGGGGGCTTCCCTGGTGGCGCAGTGGTTGAGAGTCCGCCTGCCGATGCAGGGGATACGGGTTCGTGCCCCGGTCTGGGAGGATCCCACGTGCTGTGGAGCGGCTGGGCCTGTGAGCCATGGCCGCTGGGCCTGCTCGTCCGGAGCCTGTGCTCCAGAACTTGAATACAGGTGTGTCTGCTCCAGCCAAGAGAGCACAAGGTGGACGAGAACAGGGCTTGCTGGGCCCTGAGGTGGGTCCCTGAAGTGCCTCTGACGTAGATAGCTAAACTGAGATGGCTTATTCAGTGAGTTGGGCGGGGGGG